TTTCTTTCTTCCCTTTGCATCAAAGGGAATCAAGGGATGTAGCAAGTCACCCGTGCTAGTCTTCAAAGGGAACAAACAACTAGAAAATGGAAGAAAATTATTTTTCTGGAATCAATAATAAAGTTATGGTTGTTGTCATGAAATGAGAAGCGGTTTATAATAACTTTGCTTTGATTTCCGATACAAAAAAAATTCCATGAACTATTGTAAAAACGTGTATTAAAGTATTAGGATCGAATAATCGCTTTGGCCTTAGCCAAGAATTTTGATGATAAAGTAAATTTTACAACCCAGCTGCATCATGCAATAACTGCATGGAGTCTGAATTTTTCTATTAAAACGATATTTTTTTGAGTGATGATTGTCAATTTTCATAAAACCATAAAATAGACTAATAGAAAGTTTGGGTGGTTGCGATTAGCGGAAAAAACGCTGGCTGTTTTAAAATCCTTTTCTAGAAAAAACAATCTGCGTTTTTTTCAGCGAATGGCATAACCGCCCAAGTTTTTTTTGATTTCTTTTTCTGGATTCGTACGAATTCATAAAAAATTGACAATTGATCAATCAGGAGAATATCGTTTCAATAGAAAAATTCCGACTTCACGCAATTACTGCATGATACAGCTGGGTTGTAAACTGCACTTTAGTATCGAAGTTCCTGGCTATGCCCAAAGCGATTTTACGATGTTAATACTTCACGTTTTTATAATAGTTTATGGATTTTTTTGGATCGGAAAACAAAGCGAAGTTGTTATAAATCGCTTCTCAATTCATGCCTGCGCTTAAATTTTTACCATCTGATTTATAGAAAAAATTGAATTACACTTTCTAGAAAACAAAAAAATTCAGAAGAAAAGTTTTCTGAACATTCCGAGCAATCACAAGATCATCATAGCTAAAATCACAGCAAGACACGTTCTTTCTTATTTCAGAAAGAAAACTGAAAAATTTCAAATATTGTGACAATTTGATCTCCAAGACAGATTTTTAGGGCCTGAAAAATAACGCTTAAACACAGGGGCGGATTTAGACTCACAGATTCGACCCCCTGCCGACCCAAAGGGTCCCCCTTTGTACTTTATCGAGACATCCATGTTTGGTGATGGACCCTAAAATTATACTAAATGCGCTTTCGGCGCAACTTAAACTAACTTTGAGGGGGGAGCGCGCGCTGAAGAAAATGCAATTTTTTATCAAAATGTTCCAAAAGGTGTCTAAAAACGCTTTTTTTGACCAGATTGTCCAAATTTTGTCTGCGGCCCAGAAAACTTGGGCAAAACAGGGTCTTTTTAGTGCTTTGAGAGAGCTCGGAAAATCAATATCAATATGATCGACCTACAAAAAGGTCGACATAAATTTCTAAATTTTTTCTAAAATCGCCCCTTGAGAAAATTCTAGGCCAACCCCTTCTTAAACAGATTAATCACTCTCTGAATCAGACAATTTGACTTCCGCGGAGAATATGAACGATGAAGTAACTATGATAATTTATGGCAAATAAATATATCTAATTCAAAGAAATCAAACGCAGGCCTAGCAGTAATTTTTAGATGAAATAAACTGATATTGTATTCGCTTGTTTTAGATTCTCTGAAAAATTTATCCGCAACTAATGCAAATTTCAATTCTTTTTTTTCCATGCTAGAACCCAAAAACGATAAGAGAAGAACAATTTATTTGAATAATTATTAATAGATTAATTTGAAATAAGAAAATTGAACGATAGAAAAATTTAACCGGTATGAGTTTTTCGTTCAATTAGTTTTTTGTTCAATTCAAGGAAGATAAATTATTTGGTAGCCAGTTTCATGAGAATTGTTGCCTAAATTGCATCAAACTCGATCCATGCTCGGGGTTAAACTATTCTTTGATGATTTCATCCATAAACTTAAAAATGTTACGCAAATTATTGATAAGTGGCGAGTTATCCCGCTCAGCAAAAAAGTTCCAAACTGAATTTTGAATTCAAGCTTAGCTAATCGGATGTATTAGTTTCATACGACTCAAACTTTGATACTTGATCTTTGATTTTAAGCAAAATCAAACGTTTTTCAATGTTTTTTTCTCAAAAATGGCAGTCGGATATGGATTAAAGGATAGTTAGAACCTTCAGGGATTTGCCTTGATATACGAGAAGTCTTATTCCTAGTATATGAGAAATAAAACATGTTTTACCGTGAAAGTTAACACCAAGTTTCAGATTTTCAGTGCCCGAGTTCCCTGTCTATTTTAGTAGGCACTGGAAAATTTTCAACTTTTCCACATTTAAATTTTGAGGAACAATTTTTACCGAATACTCACATAGTGTTTACATAGGAAATAGATTTTTGCTTGAATAAGTCAAAACTATCATTTTTTCATTTTAAATGTTAAGGCCTGCAAATAAGCTGTAACTGGGCCTAAACCTGGTTAAAATTAGCTGTATCTTTCGATTAACTGAAAGAAGACATGAAAAAAAAATTCTGTTTGACAAAAGTTACATAGAAAACCTTTGCAAAAAAAATTTTGTTCAAAGTTATTTTGATTCATGTGACCTGATAATGTTGACTTTTAGCAAAAAGATAGTTTGTGGATAAAAATCAAACAAAATCATCCGAAAAAAATCCAAAGTTTTTATAAATCAATTTACGTGGGATTTAATTTTTCACTAACAAATGAGATGAAAAGTGCGTCGAAAGCGTGAAAGCGTGTTCTTTGTTTTCTGTTGTCTTAGACTATCTTCCACTTCAGTACTTTTTGCAAAATTTGGCTCAAAATTGGAAAACATAGTTGGAAAAATGTATTCGGAGAACAAAAAAGGTCGGCCTTAGACAGAATAAGCTCTGAAAAAGTCTAAGCACTGTCATTAATCCATGCCATCTCCGACATATCACCAAACTACCTGATTTACAGCACTAATCTACATCTATAACTTTTCTTTAAAATATAAAAGGAGTTCAATCCAGCAACTTCCAGAATCCACAACAATTACTACTAATTCATGGGCAAAATTGAAGAAAAAACACTCATTTTACCCTCGATCTTAGTATACTCTTTTATTAAATCACTCGATTGAGCAATAAATTTTCTTATATTGGAACTATGCAAACAAAGATTTACAACGCCGGAGGAAAGACATTTCAATTTGCAGTTAAACTGGAGATCATTGCGTCTGGTACAACATAACTTGACAGTGTGAGGATAAAACTCAACTTGATTGGTCAAAACTTTTCATAATCCTCTCAACGTAAGCCCTACTATTAAAATTCAAGTGAAAGTAGAAAAAAAAACAGAGATTATTGGTTTCTTTTTCATATGAAAAAAAAAACCAATAAAAAATTTTCTCTTGCTTTGAAAATTTTCAGAAAAAGTTGAACCCCAGTTAGAAATAAAATAGTTTTAAAATGCATCAATAGAATGGCCAGTTTTCATTTGACAACAAAGTTAACTTCGGAGATTATGCGGTTATATTTTGTGTTCTTTGCTAGCAGTTTCAGGATCTTGTTAACTATTCCTCCCCCCCCCCCCCCCCCCCCTATGGTACCTTTTAACGAATCCTCCCTATAAATAAAGACAGTTAAGCATATAAGAACTTTGTATCTTGTTAACTATTTCCCACCTGTTGCAATAGGGAGGGATAGTTAACAAGATCCCAGTTTCATATCAATGCAGAATGTAGATCAAACAATGAAATTTTTCATAAAATTGGATAGAAAGAAAAAACGTATTTCGATTATTTTGAAGTTTGTTTTTCTGCAGGATAATGATAGCCGAGAGCAGATTTTGGTTTATTATGAATAACACATGTTCATGGTTACACTGTTTACAACATGTTCAACTCATTAGATATCTATACTATCATTACTTAATTGTATAAAGAAAATTGTGTTCAGTACTATCTAGTTGTTTTTGTTATTAATCATTGCCCATTCTCAAACTCGAATTGGTTGCCCTCAATTTGCTCTTTATTTTTGAATTTACTATTGATTCAACAGTTGTATTAAGACTAGTATACTATTGCATTCTTACAATGAACTCTCGGTCGGACTTTCGTTAATTTGTGACGACGGTATCAAACACTCCCAAAATGATGACATCATATAACACTATAAAAACGGTATTTTGACAAAACCTTCCGCGCGCTGCGAGCAAATTGTTGAGGAAAGTTTTTTGGGGCTTTCGGAAACTTTTGGGCAAAAAAGATCGCGTTTATCACGGCGCCCGCTCCCCATCAAAATAAGTATATATTGGGCGCCTTGATATATAAGCGTGTCTGTCACCCAAAAATTGATATCCTGATTGGCACCAAAACGAGACCCTTCCGAACAGGGGCGGATTTATGGGGGGGGGGCGGACGCCCCCCCCCCCCCCTCAGGGATTCGACCCCCTGCCGACCCAAAGGGTCCCCCTTTGGTACTTTTAGTACGCCCAAATGGTGGAGACCTTAAATTTAATAATGTCATTGAAAAATGTAATATTGTCATTATAGTACTATTGTAAGTCAAAGTTTACGAGACACAATAGCTTTCATTTTTTTTCGAGACTTGCAATTTGCCACAGATAAAGTCGAAATCTATAGCAGGCGAAGCTGCACTTGCAAGAAGTGGCTTTAAAAGGGTCAAAAATAGAAAATGAAGTAGTTTTGAAAAAAATGACCTCTACAGAAAATGGATCTCAAACATCCAAGGTTTCCAGTTGATTGTCCCATATGTTTCAGCAACTGTTTTGAAGAGAAACTTTCTGAAAATTAACTTTCATTTTTTACTGTGGTACGAAACAATAAGCTTTCATCTGTTCATTTGATGAATTTAGTAATTATGTTTAATAAAATTTCAAAGCACATTAAACTTCCTATGCAGCACGCTGCAAAAGAGCCACCAAATGAAAATAGCACAAATATTTGCGACGGAAAAAGGTTGCAAAAAAGTTGCATTGAATAACACACTACGCTCCGCATAGTTAAAAAAAAAACAATTTTATAATTTCATTCTAATTAGTGAGGTCACATTTTGTTCAGTTGAAGATTTTGCACTTTCAACTCAATTCAAATTTTACCATTATAAACGTAAATTTCAATCAGTTTGCACGTTACACAATTTACTGATTTCCATTAAAATTTGTACATTTTATTTACAATATGTAATTTTTTACTCTATTTTTTATTTACATAGTAGATAAAAAACAAACCTTTTCGAGCTATTTTACAATTTAAAAGTTTCGATTCGATATTTTCCTTTTTACACTAATAGTTCATCTCGTCAGTTGCATCCAGTTTCGAATCATACATTCTATCCAGCAACTCCTGCCCTACATTAACAGCCAGAGCTTCTACTATCTTCTCGTATCCCTTCTCGTTAGCCAATGAGATCGCCGTCTGCCCTTTGTCGTTCTTCTTGTTCGTGTTCGCTCCAGCCGAGAGCAGTTCTTTCACAATTGGTTCGGCTACATTGCCCTGAAACAAATGAAAGTTCACTGCATCAAGGAAAAGAAATACACATGTTTTGATCAGAAAGACTGCTTGGAGGACCACGTATAGAAAACTTAAACTTAGAAAACGAAGTATATTACACAATTTAACCTGTAACACAGCCTCGTGTAGCGGAGTATTCCCAATGGGTCCTCCTTTTCTGTTCAGTTCCGCCCCGTGACTTATCAAAGTTTTCACACACTCTTCCCTTTTGTTCCTCACAGCCACAACTAGAAGAGACTCATTAGCCGAATTGGCACAGTTGACTTCGGCGCCGTCTTCAAATAGCAGTTGTTTGAGGGTTTCTACGTCGCCCGATCCTTTGTCACTCACTTCGTTGAATAGGAGTCGATTAGTTGAGCTCAAATGACTGTTTTCTTGTTTGTGAGCCTTCTTAGGCGCCGCTTTCTTCTCTGAAATAGTTTGTGAATTGGAGTTTCAAAGATAACTGATACAAAAAGTCCAGATACCTAGAAAATGCTTTTTTTCAAAACCATATTAACCAATGAAAAATTCTAACAAAAAAAACATCTAACCATTGATTATTCACATTCTAAATTTATGTAAGGAAAATTAGTTTTCACATCAGCCCTTAGGAACTCCGTCAAGTGTATATGAGTTACGTGGTTACGACATAGCAACAGCATTAACGAAGTAATATGAACATCGATTGTAGATTTGAAACACATCTTAAAACAAATAACAGAAATTTCGTAAACTGCAGGATACAGCAGAAAAACGGCCAAATTTTCTAGTTTCATGGAAAAAACACCCCCCCCCCCCTTAGAACTTAATGCTTAATGTTTTTTCAATTCAGTTTCAGCTTTTTTGATTAGAATGAACTCACTTGTATGTTTGACTTTCTGTTTCGTATTTCCGAATATATCTTTATCCTTATGGGACACAAGAGAGTGAACCGCAGTCTCCACATCACTAGGGTCAGTCTCACTCTCATCCTCACTCAAAAGCAGCTTCCCCCCTGTTCCACTCCTAGTCGGGAACCCACCCACTACTGTGTTCCGGCTGATTGACATGTTCTTACCCTTGAATGGGTCTACATGGCCCGATGACAACCCACCCACGCCTGGAATAAGTCATAACTATTGTTATTGCTACTGCTGCAAAACACAATTATGAACGCTATAATCGTGCATAAAGAGTCGCTAACAAAGAATTTTTGTATAATTGTTTTGTAAAACCAGTTTGTTACTTTTTCTCTTGATTACTACCATGTTTAAACGCAGGGTCCTGTATAATATTGGTCTGGTTTCAGGGACCTTCTGAGCATCTCTTTAGGTGAATTCGGAACATTATTATCTAGACGTAAAGTACTATAATACTGACCATTTATGGTGATTTAAAAAATAATAAAAACACAGCAAGAAATACAAATACAGATTACGAAATACAGAGCGGGCGATAGCATCGTATAGTCCATAAACATGTGTTCTGTAAATAGTTAACAAGATCCTTTCTTTGTTTTCAAACCAAAAACGTTAGCACCTACCACCAATTCAGCATTAATTTTGAAAGAACAAAAAATTTGTTCCTGATCACTCAATTGTCAAAATCGGAGCAGCCAGAAAAAAAATGTTTTAACTATTACGTACCTGCAAAACCTTCCCTGTTATTCCCAGATCGTATCGGGAAGTTCAACACCAAACTGAACTCGTGGCCGTCTTCGTGAATAGTTGCCGACATTAGTTTACCCAATTTGGGATCTCCGATCATCTTCCGGAAGTCTTGGTCATTTTGAGTGTGTGCTTTCAGGTGGTTCGCTATGAAGTCCACGTTTTGTCGCCAGTATCCTTTTCCGGGACTAATCGCACTAAGAGGAACCTACAAACAAACTTGTATTTGGCTCTACTAAGAATCAAGTTCTCGTGTCATTTTAAACTTGTAGTTATCCTTTTCATTTTGTTTTTCTGGTGGCGGAGGGTGAAATTATAGACGAACATTTTTACTTCTATGGTTCACTAAGTTGAAAGTTTCGGTTTTCGGTTTAATTGCGGGTTTCAGAATTTAGCTTAGCTTAATCTCTAATTCTGAACTATTTCAGCATCATAGCACACAGCATGAAGACATTGAAAACTCAGCAGTTTACTAGATGACAATTAATTCTGAAAGCGACCAAAAAAAACTTTTATCAATGTTTAACCCTTGATGATGCCATAGAGCCGAGACTTAATATTACAATACACGAGCTTCAGTGTGAAAACCTTTCAGTTCAACCAATTAAAACGAAGAAAAAGCATTAAGGAATGACTAAAACGAATGATACCAAAATAACCTTTTTCTCTTCTTTGAACACTTTCCGCGATTCATCCTCTGCCAGAAACTTTTCTAACGTCTTCGTCGACGGGTAAAACAGTCCAACCGTTTGGGTCTGGACAGTCGACGTCTCCATCTTAGTGGGCTGTCTGTGACTCATTTGAAGCCATGTTGCCGTTGCACGACTATCCAGCGTCTAAAACATTGTTGAATGTGAAACAGGGGTCGTCAAAATTTTGATACTCCTGGAGCAAACACAAAACTTGATTAGTTCAACAAGCTCGATTTCGATAACTTATTTATTACGATACAATAGAAAATCCGTTAAAACTACGGGATGACTTTTAAACCCATTAAATGGTATAGCTTAAGATAGTTTTGAACTAATTGCCAATTGTGATAGAAGCATGATCCCATCACAATACATTTATACAAATCCATCATCATTTGTGTACCTTTATCGCGTCTTTAACCGGTAATCCAGACAGCAACAGTCCACTGTTCCTCGGATCCGGACGCTCAGGCGCTTCCAGGACTGCACCACAAGTGGAGCAGAATCTAGCATAGGGCTGGTTAGACGCCGAGCATTTGAGACAGTTTGAGACTGTGGTCGGATGTTTAGGTTTCGTACCACACCAATCACAGAACCTAGAGAGAAAAAGTTTTGACATGAGAAGGCGAAGAATTTATTTCACACTGTGAATGTAAATATACAAAAATATTAACTTAATGCACTAGAAACAATGACGTGACAGCTAACGAACCCCTATGAGTTGCACAACACTGCCCGTTCTATCGAATGAATTACCAAATTGGAAAACTTCATAGTAGGGAAACTATTGTGTTCGGACAGTCAAACCATTAACACAACACCTAATCCAATATTGACATAGGAAAGCTTTCCTGCTTATAACGACACGGTAGATAATGTCTATTTGGTTATAAATCTGGCTGTTTTTTCTCACGTTGTCTTTCACGTCGCGACGCTGTCATGATAATAAAGCGATGGTTCAGAGAAAGTCAGTTCTAACTGTCACATGCGACGTTTTCCAGTGAAGTTCGCCATTTTGTATATTAATGAAAAATCTGAAAATTAGAAACCTTGCATCGGCACTGTTGACCCGACCACATTTGGAACATGACATCATCGATTCATCATCCATCAGCAGAGCTGAAATATTGATCGGTGGTTTGTCCAAATTATTCTTCACGCTCACAACCTAAATCATGGTAACATTTTAAAAAGGAGTATATCTTTTTACACAACAGTTATAAGCCCTAAGCAATATTTTACTTGAGCTCAGTTCTGCGCGGCCATTCTGAATGACAATTTTTTGTAGCCAGCCATATCAGCTAAATTTTTGGTTCAAAAATAAATGGAATCAATGAAAAAGGGGAAGATCTTGGTATTCGAGAAGGTCGCAATTTTTTTAACGTAAAAACAGGCGTCACAAATTATCATCAGAATGGGCCGAGTGAAATGTCATACTAAAACCTTTTCAGTCGTGCAAGAAATGTTAGGCCATATTTTTTTTTCAGATTAAATTTAGTTTTCAATTTCACTATTGATTCTGTCAAGTCACGATACCTCTAATCAATTGACACTATTAATAAAGTTCTTGAAAAGTTGTGTTTGTCTGCTCATACTACGCTAAAAACTCGAAAAGCGTCGTTTATCTATAGTCGTCCAAAAATAATCGTGGTCTGAAGGTTCTGTGTTGTTTGAACAGCAACCTGTAATCCTTGTTGTTCGGACCAATGAAAATGGGGAGGAACTTCGTATTCGGGTGTGTTCTAGTTTTTATTTCTTTTAGTTTTCCATAAATAACTATCGGACTTGAGTGATATATCAAATTAAACCACTTTCAGTCTTAATTCGAACGACATTGAAAAATTCCCAAAAAAAAATCCCAGTGCCGAGAAAAACCAGTTTGAAATTTTTGGTTTTTCTTATAAAACGGTGATAACTTGTTAAATTGGTCGACTAGGCTGGAAAAAAAACTTTTTTTACACCGAAAAACGACACCAAATTAAAGATTAAAAACTTGAAGAACTTTTATTTCTAGTTTTTATGAATATGGTCGGAACATGCTGTGCTACTTGCACAGCAACCGGCTATCCTTATTCTTTTTTTTACCTGGGGACTCAATTTCTCTTCGCATTTGAGACAGAAATCTACACTTGGCGGGTTTAGAGCGAAACACTCCACACACTTTCTTTTCTCAGTCGTCCTCAAGGTCGCTTGTGGTTGAAACTGTTGGGCCAAATCGAACTCACAAACCACACATTTATCCGTATTCAGAGGCACAGTCGATTGACACTTGATACACTGTCCCATTTGGCCTGGCTCGGGTGGGGGTAGTTGTTTTTCAGTCAAGGGCGAGCAAGGGTATCCGCATTCGTTGCAGAATTTCGCATTGGGATCTGCGGGTCGCCTGGCGTAGCAGCAGATGCATCTTAGGAAGTCAGTCTCTCTTGATACTCGCATGGCTGTTTGGGTGCTTTTGGGGGGCAAGTCACCGGCAAGATTGGGATAGAACCTAATTTAAGATAAACATTAAAAACATGGACATTGATGCAGTTTAAACTGATGCAGAATGCAAGTACACTTCTTTTTTTTTCGACGCGTTGCTTTTTGTTTCAGGTTATAGGTGTAATTTCCTGGACAATTGGGTTGGAGCTAATTGGGTTTTAACAAAAAAGCTGAAATCAAGAAGGTATATAAACCAAACAATATAGAATAGTAGAGAAAAGTGAATAATTTGACTAAAAACGCAAAAGCAGTTGAAAGCCAAAATTTCAGACCAATTGGAGTTTCAATGAGAAAATTTTTTAACGTCCTGAAAAGGGATTATATATGACCAAAACAACCATTTTTGTAGGCTATCCTAATTTTTGTATAAAATTTGTTCCTCAAATCTCCTTCATAACCATTTGAAAAAAAAAGAGGCCAGGCTGCTTAGGTACAAATATCAAGACTCCCTAGCTTTACATATCTGAAGAGACACTCATTGGTACATGTTATTTCATTTACCTGTTGGTGTTCATTTCGAACGACAGATCCCCCGTTTTCTCCCTCATAATCGACCTCTGGGGGGAGAAGTTCCTAAGAGACATGGATGAAGTGATGTTCATGTGGTGGTCTGGAGAAGTCGTGGGCATTGGGGGTGTCCTCTGTTTGTTGAACAACTTCGACTCTGGTCCGATGGAGTTGCGTGAAGTTGGACCAGCGAGCACCCACGTGTCAGTGTTCATTGCTAAAACAAGCAAATAATAATGTCTATTTATAAATTTGCTCTCGAGTTATGCGCGCTAAAAAAATATATCAAACTTCATAAATTAACATTTGAAGAGCACCAGCTTGAGCGGACACTGAAGGCTATCCAGCTTCTTGTTTAAACGTCAAATTGCAATATATTTCAAGATATCATTACATTTACAAAAACTACCGTAAGTAATTGTACTTTTCATTCTCCTGATTAGCATATTTGATTCCACAAACCTGCCTTCCAGAATTATACATTCCACAATCACCTTCGCAAAATTGTCTGCAACTTACCATTCAACTTCCCAGTGCCACCAGCAGCCGCCATCGTCCTCTTGAAACTGATGTCATTGTCATCCCAATTAGCCTGCTCGTTACCATGCCCAGCATCTACGAATGTCACGTGAAGTGTCTTAGTGTTCACGCCACTCTCTTTCCCATTAGCCAGACAGGCCAACGCCTTCAGAGTTATTTTTCCCGGAGGGAGGGTGAAGGGACCTGGATTAAAGAAACTAGATGAAAATTACAAATATAATCGCTAAAATTTTTTGAAAATGAACTTAAAATTTGGAAATAAAGAAATGATTTCATTTTGACAAAGATTTTTTGGTATGTTTTCACTCGTTTTTGTTCCGAATTTCGATAAGAAATTAACGGAATATTTGTGCTCGGGGTGGGTTTTTTTTTCTTCAGACAAATTTCGACTTCTTAACTAGCCATTTTTGACGGAATTTTTTTATATCATTCAAAAAATATTGTTGTCTTGAGCTTAAATTTGAAAAGATATTTCACCTGTGATAACTTTTCGTAAAGTTATGGTGGTTTAAAAATTGCCATTTTGGCCAATTTGGGACAATTAACGCGCGATATATTTCGCGCTATTAACGCGTAAGCGGAGATTTAATCCGTCTTAAAATCGTTCCAAATTGGTTGAAAGAAGCTTATTTGCCATAATTGATGTATTACAGCGAGCGAAATCTATTCTTTTGTACTTTATATGGCGTGTGGGGTGATGATTTCATAAAAAAAACTTCAAATTTTAGAAAAAAAATTTTTTTTCATTTTATTTTATTACATTTAATTTTTTATGTTACTACTGCTCCATAAACCTTAAAAGGCAGTCGGGACATTCAGGGCTTCGCCCTGATACGAGCAGTCTTGTTTACGTTTACTTTCAATTATGGAGCTAATAAGATTGACACTGGTGACACGTTTTAGATGGTCTGTTTAAAATAAGAGGATTGTTCACGACATAAAACATTAGGACGTATGGTTACTCGTTTAGAAGGGGGCGTTCAACAGGGGCGCCGGACATCAAGCCGACGGGAATTCAAGCCGAATCGTAAAATAAGGGACTTCAAGCCGAATATTTTCTTTTCAAATTGTAAAATATGATTAATTTAAAAATTTTATTGAAAAATTTCTGAATTTCGTTATCTTTCTTCACTAGTTATTGGCGTTTTCATAAAATTTAAGCCTACAAGTGATGTTTAGGAAAGTTAAAAAAAAACACGGTTGAAGGCGTTTTTGATGTTTATAATGTATGCATTTCAAAAACCGGCTGATGTTATTAACGGATGCCAATCCCAAGTGGTGCATTGTCATGAATAACGCTTTTTATGGACTAAACTTGCCTAAAATTTTGAAAAGCAAGGTTTTACAGATAAAAAATAGTGTTTTGAGATGATTGTAAAGTTCAAATTTCGGCCTGAAGTCCCTTCGGCTTGAAGTTCCGTCGGCCTGTAGTCCTAGACCCGTTCAACAGTGCCGAAGTAAAACAGTGCCGAAAAAGTTGGGAAAAACTTCAGAATAATTTTAACGCATTTTCTAAAGAGCGGGAAATTACTGACGCTAATTATCAAAGAAAATCACTCCAATTTTGGCGCCAAAATGTCTGCAACTGCAAATTTAACAAATATTTTGGCGCCAAAACGTCTAAATTGCAAATTTTCTCACTGAAAGACTTCCAAGTGTCAATTAAGATTGTAAACAATCGCCGTTTAATTTTTGATTTCCGCACTTAATTTGTTGAAATTTGTTCATTTTTTCGGCTCTGTTGAGCAACGTTTTCTTTTTCGGCACTGTTGAACTATTTTTTTCGGCACTGTTGTACTGCCCCGTTTAGAAGTATGGTCCCGCCGTTTTTGATGAGTTCCATTCAAAAGCTCGTTTAGAAGTGTAGTCCCGCCAGACCACTTAAAGTAGACTTGAAGTAATATCAATTTGATGAAAAAAAGGAAAGCTTGTAAGCAATTCTTCGTTAGATTTGCCACCAATCTTTTCTTCAAAATGGAATATAAAATATAATTTCACTGACATTTATATAGGACCAGTGGTTAGTTTTATGGGACCATACTTCTAAACGAGGTTTTTAACCGAACCATACTTCAAAGGAGTACCGATGTATGTTTTAGAGCCCATAATACGGTTAGGTAAATCATGCGCTGTTATAATACTTCTCAAATCCCAATCAACAAATTTTTCCAACTTCAGCAAATTTGGAAATTCCATAACTTCTCGGTCTTTCCTACCTTACTTGTTCAAACCCACCTTGATACAAGTATGTACTCTTATGCAAGTGATTTCCCTTGTTGAGCGGATCTGGCCTGGTTCCATTGATAGTGTAGTATATGGACACGTTCTCCGAGGATGGAACTGCACTCCTCAATTCCACCCTGGTGTTGGAATCTATTTGAAATTTGGACTCCCCTGGACCGGGTACTCTGAGAGGCACTACGGTGGGGACTGGAATGGATCCAGCAGTCATATCTGAAATTAATCACGAACAATTGCTACTACATTTTAATCAAGGAGGCAAACTGAACCGCTCGAATTTTGGTTCTTTACTTGCGATTTAACTATCACAAAAAACATGTGTTACATACAATTACAAAATGGGTGATTTTAGCGTCTTTAAATATCTAGAAGTTTGACGAATTATGAAAATTCTGCACACAAAACTGAATCGATGCAAAAAAAATATTAAGTTATACACAGAAGTACTCGTTAAATTCTTCTCATAATTCGTTTTCACTATAAGAGTACAGAACAAATATCGATAACTTTCTTAGGTCGACCAAATTGATTTTCTGAGCTTTCATAAAGTACCACAATGAACCTCTGTCGGCAAAAAAAATGGTCAAGAACCTATGTTGACAAAATTTTGTAAAAGCGGGACAAAATTAATATCTATTCGCGCCAACGCCGTCTGTAAAAAATTTTCATTGTCGGTCGGCCGATCTTCGACGTTATAAAACAATACGATAGGGGGACCTTTTGAGTGGAGGGGGTCGAATCCCTGGGAGGGGGGAGTTGCCTCAAAGGAGCATTTTTTTTTGTCAGCTGAAAAACAACTCTTCAGCTGAAAAACAACTCTTCTCTCATGATTTAATCATTATGAGAGAACAAAAATTACTATTTATGGAGGTATATTCGAGAAATTAAATAATTGGTAACGAACTTTTTGTTTTCAATTTAGGCCCCAAACTTAAGTCCTTGGCAACTCAAAAAAGAACTATGAAAAAATCAAGTCTTCAAATGGAATTAACCGAGAAAACAGTCCTCGACAATTAAATTAAGCTGCAGGACGAATAAACTCAAATAAAATTTCATGAGATTATTTTACATATATGAGATTCAAAGCTATGTCATTAAAACAAACATCATACGAAACATGGGATAAAATATACAATTATCAATAAGCGTTGGATAACATGAACACATCAACAGGATGAGGCTTTCTTTTCCCAGTGTTTATTTATGAAGACTGTAAAATTACCTCAAAATGAAGTTATCCGAGTTCGATTTCATTACTTATGGACAGTTATGGAAGACTGATCTGAATTTTTCAAAACTAATGACACGTGTATGATGGCTTTTGATTTTCTCAAAATTTAACAAAATTTTCTCAAAATCTCATAAGTGAACAAAATTATTCGCCGAAACATGTCCACTGTTTTGGTTCAGACTACTAAAAATAGGGAGGAACTTTGTATGCGGTGTTTCTTTCGAAAATGCCTAAGTTCTAGTTTTTCGTTCAGATCTTTTTCTCACACCACGCAGAAAAAACGACACTAATTTGAAAAAAAAATAACTTTTTTCGTATTTTTTACGACTGGTCGGAACATTGTGCTACTTCCACAACAACTGGCTACCCATCTTATAAATACAACCGGTTGTCGCTTGCGACGAATTTTTATCATGTCGTATTGTGCAAGAATTTAAGTGATTTCATACCAAAATCAGTCACCTGGAATATCCAAATATTCGCCCTTTTAAACAGCTGGCACCAAAAAATATGTTACAGAAAAGTACAAATAGAGATAGCATTTTTTTCATAAATTGAGCTGTTTAACTGGAAATTTCTTTGAAAGTTCATTCCAAAAGTTTTGCATTCCATTTTTTCCCTCGCTTATTTGATTTTTTTCGATCACAGGGATGGGAACGAACTTTGGCCTACGGTATAGTTATTTTCACACAAAATAACATACTCCAAAGAATCAGGCGCGATTCTAGGATTTTCTCAACGGGGGGGCACTTTCTAACATAATGCGATTTTCCGAAAATGAGTCACAGCTGTTAAATTCACGCCTCATTTTGTCGCCTTTTTCAGAAATATGTGTGATTAGCGGTTCTGGATGAATACTTTTGAAATACATGCAGTCTCAGAACGAGATCATTGGGGCCATCGGAGACCAGATACAACAGACAATCGTCAAGAAGATCAAGAAAGCGAGGTTTTTCACAGTGATCGCAGACGAAACAACTGATGTGTCGCGCAAAGAGCAAATGTCACTCTGTGCTCGTTTCGTCACTGATGGGCGAATCAACGAGGAGTTTCTGGCTTTTGTGGAAGTCAAAGACTTGACTGGTTCAGGGCTAGCAGAAAAAATACTCTCAACAATCCGCCATCTTGGACTGGACCCACAAGACCTTGTCGGACAGAGTTACGATGGGGCATCGGCGATGTCGGGAGTTCACAGCGGTGTGCAATCGCGAGTTCGTGAGTTGTTTCCACGTGCAATCTGGATGCACTGTGCCTCCCATTGCCTCAACTTGGTAATCTCATCAAGTAGCAACGTTCCAGCTATTACAGCGGCTGACGGCCTCATCAACAAGGTAGCCAACCATCTGAGGAGATCTGCAAAACGATCAGAAGTTTTCAAAGCAGCAGTAGAGGCTGTCCACCCCGAAACGTCCCACACAGTGCTACCTCGTCTGTCGGATACCAGATGGGTCGAGCGACATGATGCAGTCCTGGTCTTCGCAGAGCTCTACGACTCAATTGCGATGACTTTGGAGCAGATCAGCCAGTGGAACGACAGAGAAGCTGCCTCCGAGGCAATGTCTTCTTGCAGCCATTTCCCGTCATGAGTTTGTCATTTCTCTGCAGTGCTTGAAACATGTGCTCATCCTGACAAAGCCCGTCAGCATCAAATTGCAAGCTGTGGATCTCGAGCTGGTGGGATGTCTCAAACACATCCGGACTGTGTGCAACCTTCTACAGACATGGCGAGACGGATCTGGGAGCGGTTCTTTTGACAATGTGTACAAAGATGCTGAAGAGATGGTTGGCGAACTTCGGATAGATGCCCTTCCTTCTGCCAGCCGGTATATTTCGCTTTAACTGATTTTTCAAGGAAAAAATAGTCATTAAATGGTGCGCCGAAGGCGCTTTTCGGAAAATTATGTACTCAAATATGTATGAAAAAACTGGTTCTTTTTTTGGTTCCCTTCAAAAGGGGGGGGGGGGGGCACGTGCCCCCGGTGCCCCCCCCCTAAAATCGCGCCTGCAAAGAATATTTTGTGGTAAAAGAAGGCAGTACATCAATTCATGGTTGTTAAGTATCTGTTTTCAAAGCTTGAATGACACAAAACTTTCGGAAGAATTTTTTTGCATAAGAAAATCTTCACTATTTAATTAAATTTATCCTTTTACCTCAATTCAAAGAGGAGAAAACGTACGCAACCCCGTTTATACAACATCAAACTTGATTTTCATATTCTGATTTCAAACTTGTCAGCAATTATTGCCAAATTCATCGAGGGTAAATCAGCTTTTTAAAATTAAAATACATTTAACTAAGCTCTACATTTCACATTTCATTACAGAAAAAAAACACGATAACTGAGCGGCGAACTTCGATTTCTTTCTTCAATCTCGATTTCTCTTTCTCTTATCTATATTTCATTCAAACTTGTCTGCTGTTATTGTCTGCGAACTCATTCTGAGGGTAATTGAACTCCTCTGTCGTTTCGTTGTCTCTCCTCGCCCCAACCGACACTGAGTGAGCCGGTGAGTTGATATTCGCAGCTGATAGTGGTTGAGAGGGTCCTCCGAATGACTCCATTGATGGAGTGTTACTGGTTCTATCCCAAATGACAATGTATTGTTTTACGGATTTTGATAGTATTGTTAATCTTACATTTTAAACCTGAATTTTTGCTTCATTCCGTTGCCTTCAAATTATTCAAAAATTTACCGCAAAAAATAATATGGTTCTTACAGACTCGTTAATTAAGTTACTTGCACACCAGATTCCATGTATCTATTTTATAGTGAACATTTAAAAATTCATTGGGTATTGCTCACTATGCATTTCTCGATATCAGAGGAAACTTTAAAGCAGTTAGCTCATTATTCCATTTCTATCACAAAATAAAATCTTTTTCAGTGGGCTCAATTACGATATTTTCCCTAGTGGAATAATACACTGCCTTGGTGTTCCTCCGCCCCCATGATTCGATCTGATTGGCAGTTGCCATGATTCTGGTGACGTCAGCACTTCGTCCATGAATTTCCGAATGGAATCATAATATCCAGAGGTCATCCAAGTCTCGTTGTGGGTTCCGCCTCTCACCTGAAGCAACAGATACAAATTCCTAGATGCAACTCTCAATCCATAGCTAATCATAGATCAAGCTCTTCAAGCAACATTGAGCCTCTTATTATGGATTCAAATATCTCTTGAAGCCCCGATGAACCTTTTATTATGGACTGAACATACTTCGAGAAGACGTTTTCTGCAATGCTTCCAGCTCCTAAAAATTATGCGGAATAAAACCAAAGCTCTTATTAAACTCAAAGCCTGATAAAGGGGTGTATATACAAGATATTTTCTACTAATTAATAGTTTCTCGGCTTAGCTTAGTTTATGACTCATTTTATAGAAGAAATATATGAACCAATGAATTTTGCCCGGAACCTGTCTTCTTATAACCAACACTCCTCTTAATAGAAAATCATTAAATTTTAAACACCTATTTCTGCTTGACTATTCGATTATTTTTTCATTTGGTGCTTTGTGAAGACAATTGCAAGCGAAATTCGAATAGCAACAACAGTGAAAAGAGCATGGGCTGACCTTGAGCAGTCGTTTCTTTGTGGCTGCACATTTGGTGAACAGATTGGCCATCATGTGAGGGGGCACCAGTTGGTCTGCTTGGCCGCTGATGAACAGAGAGGGCACCTCCACTCTGCCCATCTTGTCCACACTGGCATACTTGTTCTTGTAAAACAACCTAAATCAGAACACTAATTTTAGAAACAGATTCACCCAATCCCCACCTACAAAAAATTCGAACCTCAAAAAGCACTATTGTATTGTCGCGATATATCGTCTTTAGATTTCCTCTCTAACTAACAGACACAACCACATTTGAGTTTCAAAGAAAAAAAATAGATCACATTAAAGCTCTTTGAGCAGAAATGAATCTAGGATTTTGTCAATGGGGAGGCGGCGGATTTTCGAAAATTACTTTTCTCTTTGACTATATTAATTTTCCGCGCTCTTATAACGCGATAAACCCAATTTTGCTGTAAAAAGCTTGAAATTTTCCCCGATGCAGCAGACGAATTTATAGAAAAAAAACGACCTAATTTTGGGCACTTTTTGAAAGACTCCGACTATAACGTAGCATGTTTCGGCGCGCCCCTTCCCCTCAAAACCTCAAAATTACATGCACCCCAGGGGTCGCATCCCTGAGGCGGTCTAACCAATCACGTTTCTTCGCGCTATTTGCATTTCTATTATTGGAGAGTTTAGTTTTCCTTCCTTTCAACAAATAAATTTGAATTTGAACCGGGAAAAAAAAACAAAAATTAAATTCAAGTGTAAACAAAAATACCAAAAAACGACCAAAATAAGTCATAAACCAATGCGTTCATTACCACTTAAACATGTGCAATCAATAACCTTGGAATGAAGGTGAATCCGGGTATCTGGAACATGACTTCTGCCACATCTGCTATGTGGGTGAAAGTGTTCTCCACAATCAACATGGCAACTGGAAGACCATCTGCTGACCCTAAGTTCTCTCCTCTCAGCGAGTTGGTGTCTCCCGAAGCGCTACAGCCATTGCTCTAGAAACACACATTGAATTAATATTTTAGCTTAATTTATAAACAGCTACTAAAAGAGCAATTTATCATATCTAGTACATTTGTACCGCTTCTTTCAAGTACACCTCAAAGAACAGAACCGGATTATGTATTTCAGCAAAGAACTATACCCGATTTTAAAATTTACCTACTCGATAAATCCAAAGTTCAGTATGCAAAGTTTTCAACTTCAATGATACGACAACTACACTTCTTGAAACGGATCTCAAAAGCTCATTCTGGTCAGCACTAAAACGTTGGCACCAAAATGGCTCTCATTACCTCCAGAAATTGTTTTCCCGTACTTGAGAACGCATAAATTATGTCAAAAACTTGCTAACTTTTTGATCGTATAATGTACTCAATCTCAGCAATATTGACAATAATTTGACATTAACTACTAAAGTAGCAAAACGCTGGGAAGGACAGAATTACTTTTAAAAAAAGCCTACTTCAGAAAATTTTTGCATCCATAGATCACTTCATAAAATGAATGTCGCCTAAAAATTCAAAACTGGAAAATGGAAAATTTGATCAAAAATGGCAAAAACTTTTTAAAACTTATTTCTGTCGGGTCGGTTTTTAATTAGCTCTCTTTACAAAATAATCTTATGAAACAGCTTATTCTGACCTTGGATGTTTTGTCGAGATTGAGGAGCGACTGGCTAGTAGCAGAATGTATAGCCACTGCTCCTCCAAGAGATCGACCAAACAGAACAATCTGACTGCCGCCCAGTTCTGTGTGAGCTAAATATACAGCCAGAGTTTTGCTGAGAAAACAAAAATATACATTTAACCGAAGGGGAGCTTCAATAAAAATTGCGATTCAAAAGTGAATTATAACGACAAACTATATTGAAACACATTTACTTTTTTTGCTAAGTGTTTGACTGAGAACAAATTTTAACATGATTAGCATATGAATTTTTTCAAATTATTCAAAATTTGCGCTTTAACTGTCCGGAAACTGTATTTCCAAAACTGATGAAATATAAAATATTGATAAGGGCTGTTTTTCATAAACTGTACAGAAACTTTAAAAAATATATATCTTTGATGGAGCTTTCAGTTTTTTTTGATCAGAGGCAGAATTGAAACAATACTCAAAAACATTGCACAAACTGCAATCACAGTTATAAAAAAACATCAACTGTGCGATTTACCGCCCAAATTGATTTAGGGGGGAGAAAATATGGATTTTTCAGGAAATAACTTTGAGTATACCTTAGATTTATAGAAAAAAGTTTATATTGAGAAAATTGATTTAAATACGTTAGTTTAGGTTATTAACAGCATTCAAATGCAATTCCACATAAAAATTGTGGCAACCAATTCCATGAGCGCGTTCGTTTGAAATGCATACATTAAACAGAAATATTTTTCAAATTTATTACGTGACTGGGGGGATTCTACGGTTGGTCACTTAGGGTGGGGGGGGGGGGGGGGAGAGGGGGTTGTACGGTTGATCCAAAAAATGAAGATAAATAACTATTTCGCGAAAAAACTGAATAAATACTAGAGCTATCGTCAATGTACCATGAATACTTTCAAGACTTAGAAGCTAAAAGCAAAACTTAGTAATTAAGATTCTCCAACATTTTTTTGCCTGACAAACACATGGCTAAATAAATTCGATAAAAGACAAATGTTCACACTGCGAACATTTCAAATAGTCATAGCAAATAATGGGATGGACGGTGGTACAATATTCGGTGTCAGTTCTATTCAGGACAAATGACCCTATGTCAACTTGCCTTATACTAAATTGCCCCACATGAAACTTGTAATGTGCCAACTTGCCCCATATGACAGCTTGTCCTATGCCGTTTTGTCCCACAATTAACACTTCTAGTTTATTAATTGAAGCTCAAATCGGGTATACTTAAGGACCAGCAAGTGCTAATGGTAAAAAGATCTTTCTGAGAACTGATAGAAAACTAACTCGAGAGAACTGATAGAAAACTAACACGAAATAGTCTAAGTTGAGCGTCAAATATCATCTAAAACAATTTTTGTCATTTAATCGCACAACTTCGGAAATGATCGGTATTGAGACAGAAAACACTGGCATTTTTACTTTGGGTCATTGCGTCAACCTTTTTTCTGCAAACAAACAACTGAATTATTATGAGTAAAATTACGTGGGGGAAAATCTCAACAACTCAAAAGAACGCTCATTATTGACGGACACGATTTCTCAAAAGCAAACAATAAACAACAACTGAACAATGGAGATGCGCAAGATACAGATCACAAAAAAGCCGAATGCTTGTCGTAACAGCTGGAGAAGGAATGGCATCTACCAAAAACGAACACAGCCACGATGATAGTCCGGTAAAGATTGAAGCGAACTAGATCATGCATCCACTGAAAAGAGACCAGGCAGCAAACGATTATCGCTCGGTAGCAGTATACTATCCAATTGACTCCGGAAAAGAGACGAAAAAAAGCAGTTCAGTTATCCTTGTCCAATTTCCTAATAAAACTGAACAGACATATGCAAAGTTCCTGAAAGCTATTGATATTGTCTCGAACAATGCCCAGCCATCAATGAGTTTTCTTGATTTTGAACCGGCAGCCGTCAATGCTTTCACATATGCAGATCCAGATTCTTTCACATTCATATTGGATCCAAGTCTGTTTATTTTACCTCTGCCAAGTATTTTTACTGGTTTTAAAAAAGTCTATACTTGCACTATACTTCCAGAGAAGTTACAAAAAAGGAAACAGGAATAAACAGTAGGCAGCCCCTGTTACCTATGAGTCTCTGGAACCATTCCCAAGAAGCGGCAGAAGATTTGATCTGAACAACAAACGCCGTTGAACTGAAGGTTGGCATCTCGGAGTAACCATACTATTTCAAGGCAGCCACTTAAGCCTCTGCGCCTTTCTAAAGATTTAATGTTGGACTCCACGAATCAGAAGTTTAAAAATTTGAAGGCTAAGGTGGGACACAGAACCAGGGTCAAAGAAACATCGCGATATCCATGCAAAAAATCAAATAATTTGCAGTAATTTTAACAAAGCGAATGTAGTTAAAAATTTATATGCAATAGCTCGTTTAACAATTTCGTAAATTTTAAAGCGTCGGCATAATTTCATCCTATTTGTCTGCATTTTGAAATGATTTTTTGAAAATCATCACTTTTTAACTTATAGTAACCGTAGAGAGCCCATATTTTGGGAGGTGATAGACGCCAAAACTGCAAAAAAATTTCTCTTTCTCTCAACTGGCCCCCATGCTGGGGTACCCTGTAAGCTTTCGAAGAAATTTAAAGAATATGTGTGCTTGGGTTGGTTGGTTCTTCTCTTGGCAATTTTGACTTTTTAATTGGCAATTTTTGACGGAATTTTACTTATATCATTCGAAGGTGTTGTTTTCCTGAGCTCAAATTTAAAATATGTTACCTGTGATCATTTTTTGTCAATTTGTGGCGGTTTAAAGATTGCAAAATTGGTCATATGAGGAAACATATTGCGCGATATATTTCATGCTTTTAACACGTAAGCGGGTGGATAATTTATCCGTCTCGGAAACCGTTCCAAATTGAGTTGAGGCACACTATTTAAAGTATTCAAAACTTTTCTATATGCGAAATATATCACTTTACGGAGGTTAATTTTCAAAAAATTTACAACTTTTTAAACATTTGTCAATTGCTTTTTAAAATGAACACTACGCCATCGACCTTAACACACAGTCGGAATATTCAGGGCTTCGCCCTGGTACGAGCAGTCTTTTTATATATTGGAGAACAAATATTTAGAAAAATTTGAGGTCAGACAGCAAAAAGATGTGCTTAAGAAGTACAATGGCGGGATCCTTTGGATTGCCGGGGTTCGAATTCCTAACCCTAATCCCATACCCCTAAACTTGCTACTTTAACGAGCGTACTTTTTTTAATAAGCAGGACATGCACAAACATCTGCATTCTATTGGAAGTCTTGCTTACATTTAATGGCATTGGAAGCAGAAAAACTCACCATTCCCATAATTATTCCATACACGAAAATGGGAAGAAGCTTTGTATTCAGAAGTGATATTTTAAACGCAAAATGAGGTATCCCAAAAAAAAACGTAAGAGTTGATTGATGTATAACACATAAGCCCATTCAGCCGAGGTTAGAGCTACAAAGAAAAACTACACAGGTGCTTCAATATTGATAAAGACTTTAATCTTTCTTAGCAACGAGTCACAAAAGAACATTTCTGACTGGAGTATTTCACATTCTTGTTACAGGAAACTATCAGTAATCTCATAACTGGCTGTTGTTGTGCTCAGGTGTGACTATGGTCTGATGTGTATTTGTCAACGCTAAAGTAGACATCACAAAGACAGTTCCTATGAGCAAAATTTGTTGAAGCATTTTAAAGTCGTGATTTGGTATCACAAAAAGATAGTTGAAAAAATACTCTCAGTGTCACAAAAGACAATTCCGTTTCCAGACAAACTTTTAACCAGTGAATCGCTATTGCAACAAAAAAACAATGTAAATCTTGATGCTCAATTTACTTAGGTTACTAGTGTTATTCGAAATCATTCATAGTATCAGAGTTACCAACTGGTCGCCGAAAAAGTAGTGACTTGGTCAAAATCTACCGAAATCATCTCAAAATGAACAAAAAACAAGTTCCCAAAGAACTAGAAAGATAGTATTATTAACCATTTGCTGCCCAAAAGATCAAAAAAAAATTAAAACTATAGTCAGAAGATCCTCGCTATTAACACACCTATCGGTTAGTTTCGTTTAAAAGATGGAATCAGATGTCGCTTCAGGCCAGCATAACTACTCCTTCAAGTTAAAATGTATCGGAAGTCATTCTGGACAGCACTAAAACGTTGGCACCAAAATGGCTCTCATTACCTCCAGAAATTGTTTTCCCGTACTTGAGAACGCATAAATTATGTCAAAAACTTGCTAACTTTTTGATCGTATAATGTACTCAATCTCAGCAATATTGACAATAATTTGACATTAACTACTAAAGTAGCAAAACGCTGGGAAGGACAGAATTACTTTTAAAAAAAGCCTACTTCAGAAAATTTTTGCATCCATAGATCACTTCATAAAATGAATGTCGCCTAAAAATTCAAAACTGGAAAATGGAAAATTTGATCAAAAATGGCAAAAACTTTTTAAAACTTATTTCTGTCGGGTCGGTTTTTAATTAGCTCTCTTTACAAAATAATCTTATGAAACAGCTTATTCTGACCTTGGATGTTTTGTCGAGATTGAGGAGCGACTGGCTAGTAGCAGAATGTATAGCCACTGCTCCTCCAAGAGATCGACCAAACAGAACAATCTGACTGCCGCCCAGTTCTGTGTGAGCTAAATATACAGCCAGAGTTTTGCTGAGAAAACAAAAATATACATTTAACCGAAGGGGAGCTTCAATAAAAATTGCGATTCAAAAGTGAATTATAACGACAAACTATATTGAAACACATTTACTTTTTTTGCTAAGTGTTTGACTGAGAACAAATTTTAACATGATTAGCATATGAATTTTTTCAAATTATTCAAAATTTGCGCTTTAACTGTCCGGAAACTGTATTTCCAAAACTGATGAAATATAAAATATTGATAAGGGCTGTTTTTCATAAACTGTACAGAAACTTTAAAAAATATATATCTTTGATGGAGCTTTCAGTTTTTTTTTGATCAGAGGCAGAATTGAAACAATACTCAAAAACATTGCACAAACTGCAATCACAGTTATAAAAAAACATCAACTGTGCGATTTACCGCCCAAATTGATTTAGGGGGGAGAAAATATGGATTTTTCAGGAAATAACTTTGAGTATACCTTAGATTTATAGAAAAAAGTTTATATTGAGAAAATTGATTTAAATACGTTAGTTTAGGTTATTAACAGCATTCAAATGCAATTCCACATAAAAATTGTGGCAACCAATTCCATGAGCGCGTTCGTTTGAAATGCATACATTAAACAGAAATATTTTTCAAATTTATTACGTGGCTGGGGGGATTCTACGGTTGGTCACTTAGGGTGGGGGGGGGGGGGAGAGAGGGGGTTGTACGGTTGATCCAAAAAATGAAGATAAATAACTATTTCGCGAAAAAACTGAATAAATACTAGAGCTATCGTCAATGTACCATGAATACTTTCAAGACTTAGAAGCTAAAAGCAAAACTTAGTAATTAAGATTCTCCAACATTTTTTTGCCTGACAAACACATGGCTAAATAAATTCGATAAAAGACAAATGTTCACACTGCGAACATTTCAAATAGTCATAGCAAATAATGGGATGGACGGTGGTACAATATTCGGTGTCAGTTCTATTCAGGACAAATGACCCTATGTCAACTTGCCTTATACTAAATTGCCCCACATGAAACTTGTAATGTGCCAACTTGCCCCATATGACAGCTTGTCCTATGCCGTTTTGTCCCACAATTAACACTTCTAGTTTATTAATTGAAGCTCAAATCGGGTATACTTTAGGACCAGCAAGTGCTAATGGTAAAAAGATCTTTCTGAGAACTGATAGAAAACTAACTCGAGAGAACTGATAGAAAACTAACACGAAATAGTCTAAGTTGAGCGTCAAATATCATCTAAAACAATTTTTGTCATTTAATCGCACAACTTCGGCAATGATCGGTATTGAGACAGAAAACACTGGCATTTTTACTTTGGGTCATTGCGTCAACCTTTTTTCTGCAAACAAACAACTGAATTATTATGAGTAAAATTACGTGGGGGAAAATCTCAACAACTCAAAAGAACGCTCATTATTGACGGACACGATTTCTCAAAAGCAAACAATAAACAACAACTGAACAATGGAGATGCGCAAGATACAGATCACAAAAAAGCCGAATGCTTGTCGTAACAGCTGGAGAAGGAATGGCATCTACCAAAAACGAACACAGCCACGATGATAGTCCGGTAAAGATTGAAGCGAACTAGATCATGCATCCACTGAAAAGAGACCAGGCAGCAAACGATTATCGCTCGGTAGCAGTATACTATCCACTTGACTCCGGAAAAGAGACGAAAAAAAGCAGTTCAGTTATCCTTGTCCAATTTCCTAATAAAACTGAACAGACATATGCAAAGTTCCTGAAAGCTATTGATATTGTCTCGAACAATGCCCAGCCATCAATGAGTTTTCTTGATTTTGAACCGGCAGCCGTCAATGCTTTCACATATGCAGATCCAGATTCTTTCACATTCATATTGGATCCAAGTCTGTTTATTTTACCTCTGCCAAGTATTTTTACTGGTTTTAAAAAAGTCTATACTTGCACTATACTTCCAGAGAAGTTACAAAAAAGGAAACAGGAATAAACAGTAGGCAGCCCCTGTTACCTATGAGTCTCTGGAACCATTCCCAATAAGCGGCAGAAGATTTGATCTGAACAACAAACGCCGTTGAACTGAAGGTTGGCATCTCGGAGTAACCATACTATTTCAAGGCAGCCACTTAAGCCTCTGCGCCTTTCTAAAGATTTAATGTTGGACTCCACGAATCAGAAGTTTAAAAATTTGAAGGCTAAGGTGGGACACAGAACCAGGGTCAAAGAAACATCGCGATATCCATGCAAAAAATCAAATAATTTGCAGTAATTTTAACAAAGCGAATGTAGTTAAAAATTTATATGCAATAGCTCGTTTAACAATTTCGTAAATTTTAAAGCGTCGGCATAATTTCATCCTATTTGTCTGCATTTTGAAATGATTTTTTGAAAATCATCACTTTTTAACTTATAGTAACCGTAGAGAGCCCATATTTTGGGAGGTGATAGACGCCAAAACTGCAAAAAAATTTCTCTTTCTCTCAACTGGCCCCCATGCTGGGGTACCCTGTAAGCTTTCGAAGAAATTTAAAGAATATGTGTGCTTGGGTTGGTTGGTTCTTCTCTTGGCAATTTTGACTTTTTAATTGGCAATTTTTGACGGAATTTTACTTATATCATTCGAAGGTGTTGTTTTCCTGAGCTCAAATTTAAAATATGTTACCTGTGATCATTTTTTGTCAATTTGTGGCGGTTTAAAGATTGCAAAATTGGTCATATGAGGAAACATATTGCGCGATATATTTCATGCTTTTAACACGTAAGCGGGTGGATAATTTATCCGTCTCGGAAACCGTTCCAAATTGAGTTGAGGCACACTATTTAAAGTATTCAAAACTTTTCTATATGCGAAATATATCACTTTACGGAGGTTAATTTTCAAAAAATTTACAACTTTTTAAACATTTGTCAATTGCTTTTTAAAATGAACACTACGCCATCGACCTTAACACACAGTCGGAATATTCAGGGCTTCGCCCTGGTACGAGCAGTCTTTTTATATATTGGAGAACAAATATTTAGAAAAATTTGAGGTCAGACAGCAAAAAGATGTGCTTAAGAAGTACAATGGCGGGATCCTTTGGATTGCCGGGGTTCGAATTCCTAACCCTAATCCCATACCCCTAAACTTGCTACTTTAACGAGCGTACTTTTTTTAATAAGCAGGACATGCACAAACATCTGCATTCTATTGGAAGTCTTGCTTACATTTAATGGCATTGGAAGCAGAAAAACTCACCATTCCCATAATTATTCCATACACGAAAATGGGAAGAAGCTTTGTATTCAGAAGTGATATTTTAAACGCAAAATGAGGTATCCCAAAAAAAAACGTAAGAGTTGATTGATGTATAACACATAAGCCCATTCAGCCGAGGTTAGAGCTACAAAGAAAAACTACACAGGTGCTTCAATATTGATAAAGACTTTAATCTTTCTTAGCAACGAGTCACAAAAGAACATTTCTGACTGGAGTATTTCACATTCTTGTTACAGGAAACTATCAGTAATCTCATAACTGGCTGTTGTTGTGCTCAGGTGTGACTATGGTCTGATGTGTATTTGTCAACGCTAAAGTAGACATCACAAAGACAGTTCCTATGAGCAAAATTTGTTGAAGCATTTTAAAGTCGTGATTTGGTATCACAAAAAGATAGTTGAAAAAATACTCTCAGTGTCACAAAAGACAATTCCGTTTCCAGACAAACTTTTAACCAGTGAATCGCTATTGCAACAAAAAAACAATGTAAATCTTGATGCTCAATTTACTTAGGTTACTAGTGTTATTCGAAATCATTCATAGTATCAGAGTTACCAACTGGTCGCCGAAAAAGTAGTGACTTGGTCAAAATCTACCGAAATCATCTCAAAATGAACAAAAAACAAGTTCCCAAAGAACTAGAAAGATAGTATTATTAACCATTTGCTGCCCAAAAGATCAAAAAAAAATTAAAACTATAGTCAGAAGATCCTCGCTATTAACACACCTATCGGTTAGTTTCGTTTAAAAGATGGAATCAGATGTCGCTTCAGGCCAGCATAACTACTCCTTCAAGTTAAAATGTATCGGAAGTTATGGTATGAGTATATCTATAGTTTTCCATGAATATTTCCCTATATGGTATCAACTTACTTCTGATGAAATTGATAGCTGCCTTTGCGTCCAAGTACAGTCCATATTCAGAGGGATTCCCAGTGCTCTTGCCGTATCCCCTGTATTCAACCAGAAGCACATTGCACTTCAGCTTCGCCACCATCTCAGTCGCATTGGGCAGGCGGTGTCCGATGTTGCCTGCGTTGCCATGCAGGTACACTAAAAACACACATGAACAAATATAACAGATGCTAACAACAAACACTAAGAAATATCACAGATGCTAACAACACGCATGAACAAACATCACAGATGGCATGTGCAAAACACAAAAAGCACGACAGCTATCCGGAAGAAAACGAGACGAGACGTAAGTCGCGTAGTCGAAAAATAGACAAAAAAAAAGAAATCGCAAGCATTAAAAAACATCAACAGAGTTTTTCTCTACAGAGTTGTAAAAAATTTTTTTTAGAGAATGCAATCGCCCGTTTTGAATTACCATCAACACAATTATCAAGTGTTAACTTAACAGACAAGACTTGGTTAAAAATTTGTTGACCCAAAAAAATTGTCCGGCAAAATTTGAGCTTCCGAAACTCCATCATAAAAAGATTCGTTTTCAAACAAGGTTTGTAAGCAACTACAACAATATAACCATCTTAGGCAATAGACAGTTGAAAAATAGTCAAGAATTCAAAAAAAAACTTGAAATCAAACTTTCAAAATTCAAAGTAAGAATTCTATGGCTTTGAAGCTATTTGAATTTCGAAAAGAATCATGTTTGAATTTTTTATACTCAATTTGAAAAAAAAAAAACGATAAGAATCGACTTTCGAAAATAGAAGCTGATTCTGATCTTTACACTTTTACTGTTCCACAGTTGACTTTGCTTTCCTTTAAACAAAGGGAATATACTGAACTTAACAAGAAACCAAAAGCCAAACATGAAATCATAAGTAAAACCGTAAAAAATCAAGTCTGAGCGTGAACTAATTTTAGACTTTTCCTGGAAAAAAATCATCCTGAACTAAAAAAAAGATTTTTCACTACGTTCATCGACTCTGAAAAATTAAGCCAACAGACAGTTGGAAAAAGTCAATGAACGCAAGGAAAAAAAAACAGACTTGTTTTATGAAAAAACTTATATGACTCTAAGTAAAAAAATATATGGCTTTATCACTCTTTGAATGGCTTTAACTAACACCCTTATGCTCAACAGACAAAATTAAATAAAAAGTTCGGGCAAACAAATTCGGATAGATAAAATGATATAAAGAGAGCAATTAATCCTTTTTGGAAAAACTGTGCATGCAAAAGCAAGTGTTTCAGACCAAATTTTTATCAAGATTGCCCGAAATATCAAAATTGCATGCAAAATTCAGTTAACATGCACTGACTGCTCTTTTTAATTAATTCTGCCTGCCTGAACTTTTTGTAACTCTCTATAAAACGCATGACCGCCTAAAAGACAGCCAGAAGACTGCTGAAAATGTGCCATTTCTTTCTCATCAATTGTTCCAACCAGATTGTAAAAAATCCAGTAAATCAAGTACAAAAGTTTACACAGAGGCGAAGTTGCACTTCCTATACACAAGCAAACAATATGACCGATAATGCTACTGGGAAAAACTGAATGAGTAAAACTTTGGGTCTACAAATTTTCTTAAACGTTGGCACCAAAATGGCTCTCATGACCTCCAGAAATTGTTTTTCCGTACTTGAGAACGCATAAATTATGTCAAAAACTTGCTAACTTTTTGATCGTATAATGTACTCAATCTCAGCAATATTGACAATAATTTGAGATTAACAACTAAAGTAGCAAAACGCTGGGAAGGACAGAATTACTTTTAAAAAAAGCCTATTTCAGAAAATTTTTGCATCCATAGATCACTTCATAAAATGAATGTCGCCTAAAAATTTAAAACTGGAAAATGGAAAATTTGATTAAAAATGGCAAAAACTTTTTAAAACTTAATTCTGTCGGGTCGGTTTTTAATTAGCTCTCTTTACAAAATAATCTTATGAAACAGCTTATTCTGACCTTGGATATTTTGTCGAGATTGAGGAGCGACTGGCTAGTAGCAGAATGTATAGCCACTGCTCCTCCAAGAGATCGACCAAACAGAACAATCTGACTGCCGCCCAGTTCTGTGTGAGCTAAATATACAGCCAGAGTTTTGCTGAGAAAACAAAAATATACATTTAACCGAAGGGGAGCTTCAATAAAAATTGCGAATCAAAAAAGAATCACAACGAACAAACTATAATGAAACAAATTTACTTTTTTGCTAAGTGTTTGACTGAGAACAAATTTTAACATGATTAGCATATGAATTTTTTCAAATTATTCAAAATTTGCGCTTTAACTGTCCGGAAACTGTATTTCCAAAGCTGATGAAATATAAAATATTGATAAGGGCTGTTTTTCATAAACTGTACAGAAACTTTAAAAAATATATATCTTTGATGGAGCTTTCAGTTTTTTTTGATCAGAGGCAGAATTGAAACAATACTCAAAAACATTGCACAAACTGCAATCACAGTTATAAAAAAACATCAACTGTGCAATTTACCGCCCAAATTGATTTAGGGGGGAGAAAATATGGATTTTTCAGGAAATAACTTTGAGTATACCTTAGATTTATAGAAAAAAGTTTATATTGAGAAAATTGATTTAAATACGTTAGTTTAGGTTATTAACAGCATTCAAATGCAATTCCACATAAAAATTGTGGCAACCAATTCCATGAGCGCGTTCGTTTGAAATGCATACATTAAACAGAAATATTTTTCAAATTTATTACGTGGCTGGGGGGATTCTACGGTTGGTCACTTAGGGTGGGGGGGGAGAGAGGGGGTTGTACGGTTGATCCAAAAAATGAAGATAAATAACTATTTCGCGAAAAAACTGAATAAATACTAGAGCTATCGTCAATGTACCATGAATACTTTCAAGACTTAGAAGCTAAAAGCAAAACTTAGTAATTAAGATTCTCCAACATTTTTTTGCCTGACATACACATGGCTAAATAAATTCGATAAAAGACAAATGTTCACACTGCGAACATTTCAAATAGTCATAGCAAATAATGGGATGGACGGTGGAACAATATTCGGTGTCAGTTCTATTCAGGACAAATGACCCTATGTCAACTTGCCTTATACTAAATTGCCCCACATGAAACTTGTAATGTGCCAACTTGCCCCATATGACAGCTTGTCCTATGCCGTTTTGTCCCACAATTAACACTTCTAGTTTATTAATTGAAGCTCAAATCGGGTATACTTTAGGACCAGCAAGTGCTAATGGTAAAAAGATCTTTCTGAGAACTGATAGAAAACTAACTCGAGAGAACTGATAGAAAACTAACACGAAATAGTCTAAGTTGAGCGTCAAATATCATCTAAAACAATTTTTGTCATTTAATCGCACAACTTCGGCAATGATCGGTATTGAGACAGAAAACACTGGCATTTTTACTTTGGGTCATTGCGTCAACCTTTTTTCTGCAAACAAACAACTGAATTATTATGAGTAAAATTACGTGGGGGAAAATCTCAACAACTCAAAAGAACGCTCATTATTGACGGACACGATTTCTCAAAAGCAAACAATAAACAACAACTGAACAATGGAGATGCGCAAGATACAGATCACAAAAAAGCCGAATGCTTGTCGTAACAGCTGGAGAAGGAATGGCATCTACCAAAAACGAACACAGCCACGATGATAGTCCGGTAAAAATTGAAGCGAACTAGATCATGCATCCACTGAAAAGAGACCAGGCAGCAAACGATTATCGCTCGGTAGCAGTATACTATCCACTTGACTCCGGAAAAGAGACGAAAAAAAGCAGTTCAGTTATCCTTGTCCAATTTCCTAATAAAACTGAACAGACATATGCAAAGTTCCTGAAAGCTATTGATATTGTCTCGAACAATGCCCAGCCATCAATGAGTTTTCTTGATTTTGAACCGGCAGCCGTCAATGCTTTCACATATGCAGATCCAGATTCTTTCACATTCATATTGGATCCAAGTCTGTTTGTTTTACCTCTGCCAAGTATTTTTACTGGTTTTAAAAAAGTCTATACTTGCACTATACTTCCAGAGAAGTTACAAAAAAGGAAACAGGAATAAACAGTAGGCAGCCCCTGTTACCTATGAGTCTCTGGAACCATTCCCAAGAAGCGGCAGAAGATTTGATCTGAACAACAAACGCCGTTGAACTGAAGGTTGGCATCTCGGAGTAACCATACTATTTCAAGGCAGCCACTTAAGCCTCTGCGCCTTTCTAAAGATTTAATGTTGGACTCCACGAATCAGAAGTTTAAAAATTTGAAGGCTAAGGTGGGACACAGAACCAGGGTCAAAGAAACATCGCGATATCCATGCAAAAAATCAAATAATTTGCAGTAATTTTAACAAAGCGAATGTAGTTAAAAATTTATATGCAATAGCTCGTTTAACAATTTCGTAAATTTTAAAGCGTCGGCATAATTTCATCCTATTTGTCTGCATTTTGAAATGATTTTTTGAAAATCATCACTTTTTAACTTATAGTAACCGTAGAGAGCCCATATTTTGGGAGGTGATAGACGCCAAAACTGCAAAAAAATTTCTCTTTCTCTCAACTGGCCCCCATGCTGGGGTACCCTGTAAGCTTTCGAAGAAATTTAAAGAATATGTGTGCTTGGGTTGGTTGGTTCTTCTCTTGGCAATTTTGACTTTTTATTTGGCAATTTTTGACGGAATTTTACTTATATCAATCGAAGGTGTTGTTTTCCTGAGCTCAAATTTAAAATATGTTACCTGTGATCATTTTTTGTCAATTTGTGGCGGTTTAAAGATTGCAAAATTGGTCATATGAGGAAACATATTGCGCGATATATTTCATGCTTTTAACACGTAAGCGGGTGGATAATTTATCCGTCTCGGAAACCGTTCCAAATTGAGTTGAGGCACACTATTTAAAGTATTCAAAACTTTTCTATATGCGAAATATATCACTTTACGGAGGTTAATTTTCAAAAAATTTACAACTTTTTAAACATTTGTCAATTGCTTTTTAAAATGAACACTACGCCATCGACCTTAACACACAGTCGGAATATTCAGGGCTTCGCCCTGGTACGAGCAGTCTTTTTATATATTGGAGAACAAATATTTAGAAAAATTTGAGGTCAGACAGCAAAAAGATGTGCTTAAGAAGTACAATGGCGGGATCCTTTGGATTGCCGGGGTTCGAATTCCTAACCCTAATCCCATACCCCTAAACTTGCTACTTTAACGAGCGTACTTTTTTTAATAAGCAGGACATGCACAAACATCTACATTCTATTGGAAGTCTTGCTTACATTTAATGGCATTGGAAGCAGAAAAACTCACCATTCCCATAATTATTCCATACACGAAAATGGGAAGAAGCTTTGTATTCAGAAGTGATATTTTAAACGCAAAATGAGGTATCCCAAAAAAAACGTAAGAGTTGATTGATGTATAACACATAAGCCCATTCAGCCGAGGTTAGAGCTACAAAGAAAAACTACACAGGTGCTTCAATATTGATAAAGACTTTAATCTTTCTTAGCAACGAGTCACAAAAGAACATTTCTGGCTGGAGTATTTCACATTCTTGTTACAGGAAGCTATCAGTAATCTCATAACTGGCTGTTGTTGTGCTCAGGTGTGACTATGGTCTGATGTGTATTTGTCAACGCTAAATTAGACATCACAAGGACAGTTCGTATGAGCAAAATTTGGTGAAGCTTTTAAAGTCGTGATTTGGTATCACAAAAGGAGAGTTGAAAAAATCTCTCAGTGCCACAACAGACAATTCCGTTTCCAGACAAACTTTTAGCCAGTGAATCGCTATTGCAACAAAAGAATCACTGTAAATCTTGATGCTCAATTTACTTAGGTTACTATTGTTATTCGAAATCATTCATAGTATCAGAGTTACCAACTGGTCGCCGAAAAAGTAGTGACTTGATCAAAATCTACCGAAATCATCTCAAAATGAACAAAAAACAAGTTCCCAAAGAACTAAAAAGGTAGTATTATTAACCATTTGCTGCCCAAAAGATCAAAAAAAATGAAAACTATGGTCAGAAGATCCTCGCTATTAACACTCCTATCGGTTAATTTCGTTTAAAAGATGGAATCAGATGTCGCTTCAGGCCAGCATAACTACTCCTTCAAGTTAAAATGTATCGGAAGTTATGGTATGAGTATATCTATAGTTTTCCCTGAAATATTTCCCTATATGATATCACCTTACTTCTGATGAAATTGATAGCAGCCTTTGCGTCCAAGTACAGTCCATATTCAGAGGGACTCCCAGTGCTCTTGCCGTAACCCCTGTATTCAACCAGTAGCACATTGCACTTCAGCTTCGCCACCATCTCAGTCGCATTGGGCAGGCGGTGTCCGATGTTGCCTGCGTTGCCATGCAGGTACACTAAAAACACACATGAACAAATATAACAGATGCTAACAACACACACTAAGAAATATCACAGATGCTAACAACACGCATGAACAAACATCACAGATGGCATTTGCAAAACACAAAAAGCACGACAGCTATCCGGAAGAAACGAGACGAGACGTAAGTCACGTAGTCGAAAAAAAGAAATCACAAGCATTAAAAAACATCAACAGAGTTTTTCTCTACAAAGTTTTTCTCTACAGATTTGTAAAAAAAACTTTGTAGAGAATGCAATCGCCCGTTTTGAATTACCATTAACACAATTATCAAGTGTTAACTTAACAGACAAGACTTGGTTAAAAATTTATTGACCCAAAAAAATTGTCCGGCAAAATTTGAGCTTCCGAAACTCAATCATAAAAAAAGATTCGTTTTCAAACAAGGTTTGTAAGCAACTTTAACAATATAACCATCTTAGGCAATAGACAAGTGGAAAACTGTCAAGAATTCAAAAAAAAAACTTGAAATCAAAGTAAGAATTCTATGGCTTTGAAGCTATTTGAATTTCGAAAAGAACCATGGTTGAATTTTTTATACTCAATTTGAAAAAAAAACGATAAGAATCGACTTTCGAAAATAGAAGCTGATCCTGATCTTTACACTTTTGCTGTTCGGCAGTTGACTTTGCCTTCCTTTAAACAAAGGGAATATACTGAACTTAACAAGAAACCAAAAGCCAAACATAAAATCATAAGTTAAACCGTAAAAAATCAAATCTGAGCGTGAACTTATTTTAGAATTTTCCTGGAAAAAATCATCCTGAACTAAAAAAAGATTTTCCACTACGTTCATCGACTCAGAAAAATTAAGCCAACAGACAGTTGGAAAAAGTTAATGAACGCAAGGAAAAAAACAGACTTATTTTATCAAAAAACTTATATGACACTAAGTAGAAAAAATATATGGCTTTATCACTCTTTGAATGGCTTCAACTAACACCCTTATGATCAACAGACAAAATTAAATAAAAAGTTCGGGCAAACAAATTCGGATAGATAAAATGATATAAAGAGAGCAATTAATCCTTTTTGGAAAAACTGTGCATGCAAAAGCAAGTGTTTCAGACCAAATTTGTATCAAGATTGTCCGAAATATCAAAATTGCATGCAAAATTCAGTTAACATGCACTGATTGCTCTTTTTAATTAATTCTGCCTGCCTGAACTTTTTGTAACTCTCTCGAATAAAACGCATGACCGCCTAAAAGACAGCCAGAAGACTGCTGAAAATGTGCCATTTCTTTCTCATCAATTGTTCCAACCAGATTGTAAAAAATCCAGTAAACCAAGTACAAAAGTTTACACAGAGGCGAAGTTGCTTGAGTTTCTAAGTGACGCAAGCCAATTATGAGGCATTAGTAAAACCAGTCAATTTTAAAAAAAGAGAAATTTACCACTAACATGCCTCAATTTATAGAGCGGACGCATTTTAGCTAGTAAACCAAAAAGTTCACTAAAAACATCCGACCCTGCTCAAGTTCGAACCCTCTTATTTTGTTGCTGGTCTCCTTTCCTACCTCAGACACTGAAAAAATAGGATCCGGTCGGGAGTCGAAACCCAGACAACCGCGTGTAAAGGCAACTGCATTACCTCCAGGCTAAGTGAAAAGGGGCCTGGAAAACGCTATGGATCGACAACAAAGCAACATCCATTTCATTTACAAAACGTAAAAAAGGTTGTTTACATGTTATCAAAACAAGTGTATATCAATTTGAAGCGGAGCATGCACCGAAAAAACGCGATTTGTTGGTTTAAAAATCAAAAAAGAGCCCGCCGTTTTTATCTGCTTTTTCAAAAATTTCCAGGCATGCAGAAACTTGTCAAATTATGGTCTTTATAGTGCGCTCGATAAATCCATTTTATTGATCTTAAAAAAATGTTGAAAAGTAAATACGCCCCGCCCCCCAAATCTGGTATACTGAAGTCATGATAGCTTTGTTTCCTCGGAAATTGAAGGTGGGACATACGCGAACAAGAGTTGTTTGTTTGCCTGAAAAAGTTGCCGTTTGTTTTTGTAATCTGCTTTATGATATTTGAAATTTACCCCTGAATGATTGATGACCGAGTGATCTAGCAGCCTTCAAATGTTGTTCAATCTAGCTTTGTCGTATTGGCTTTTTTTGGATCCACCTATTTTTTTTTTGAATTTTGAGATCCACCTATAACATAAGCCCTGAATGTACCTCAAGACGGAAAATAACACCTAATGCTAAAACGATTGGCTAGCGTCAGAATATGATCTTATGTGTTTTTCACCGTCTCTACTGAAGCCAAAATGTCCGGTCTGTACCTAATGAGAGCCAAGTGTCCGATTTTTTTTCTTGCCAGCAGAAATAGTATTGATTGCCACTACCGTAGAATTCCCCCACACCCTGAAAGTAGATCCAACTGCTTTCGCGTTTCCGGGAACAACTGCCTCTTCTAAGTTTGATAGAACTTCAGCAAACGACCATGAACTATCGCCTGTAAAAAATCTGCGTCAAATTTACAGCCAAAAGTTTCCCCTACGTTCTGTATGCTGAGTCTGATGAAAACGTCTGCGCAACCCCAGCGTTTGTGGCTTTGACTGGAACGTGCAACCCCGCAAAAAAGACAAAACCCGACTAAAATGAAATTTAACGACGCTGAGACCGTTAACTATCTGAGACCGTTTCTCTAGTTGAACCAGAAAAACTAACAGCCCAACATTCCAGACATACGTGTGAGTCGAGGCTAATTTACCTCAAAATTCGTGTAATCGATACGGCATGGGCACTGAACGTTTCTAAACAGCCTCATGAAAAAAGTCGTCTCTAATGCTTACTCAACAATTTCAAATGGGGAAAAGACCTAAGCCTCTTTTACGAAACAGCAAAAACTTGAACTTTAATCAAACAACTTAATTTCGAATTCGCATATCAAATTTTTTATATCAACACTGATAAAAGCGAGAGAGTGACAAAGGTTCAAAGAATGGATGCCTCTACGCAGCTGGACCACGACAGGTGCCCAAACTCCATTAACCCTATATCGCAGAAGAGAGAAAAAGATAAAGGAGCGGAAAAACCAGAATAGACCGAGGCGAGAAAACAAAAAGAAACAACACATTATTTTTATCAAACGAGCAGCCGAAAGCAACCTACCTACTCATGGTCTTGTTAGTGGCTGGGCTTCTAGTTCTCACCCTACTATTCATAGGCAAAATAATAGAACGAAACCTTAGTCCAAACATAAATTCAAGCCTGAAATTGAACACCTGCTTATCGAAAAACAGGAGAGCATCTCTAAGAAAGTTTATCTAAGATAAATGCAACAACTTCACATTAGAATTATAGAAATCTCTTAACGAAAAACCTAAGCTGCTTGGCAGAATACCACCAATATTATCAGAAAACTTATCACCAATAGTATCAGGTACTCGTCTCATCGAATTAGTTACCATTATAGACTGATCAACAAGGTACCCGACGTCTGCCCAAGCTGTTACATAGGACCACGCACCACCGAACATCTCTTTAATTGCCGGGTACACCCTACCTCCCTTACTATCGAGAGCTTATGGGAGGAGCCTGCAGCTTAACACATAACCCCACGTAACTGGAGTTTTTCTCGATTCTCCCCATTAGCTAAAAACTCCCAGCTTAAGCCGGGCATAGATTTCATTCATTTCTCTGCACGCCAAAAAACGTGGCCCCTAGAACGGGCATTCTTTCTCCACATCAAAAACCTCCCTCTTGGGCGTGCCATGCAGAGAGGAGGTGTCGACACCAGTACGAAGACGCTGTCACTGCAACGCTGTCACCGCTAGAGACCCTGGGGGAACTGCAGTGATAGATTTGACAAGACGAAAACCGAAAGTAAACGCTCTCTATCTCTCAAACAAAATCGATCTCTCCAATTCAATCAGAAGTTCAAATCAGAGAAGAGATCTATGTAGCTACAACAATGAGAACAACAGAGAGTGACAAGCCGTGGCTGAGACGCTCGGCCTTAAACACAAGGTCGTGGGTTCGAATCCCGCTTCGGTCACGATTGGCGGGGACCCAGTTAGATCCGCCTCCGAAAATGGGATGGCTGCGGCGAAATTCATGACAATTCTCTCCCCCTCACGGAAAAATCAAGTTTGAATGGTGGGAGCTGGGCCGTGGGCCAAAAACGATTTAAAAAAGGATAGATTAATGAATTTACCCGATCCCATACCAAAAATTTTTCCCGAACCCCAGACCATAAAATGACAAGGCAACCGCATTATCTCCTGATAGAGTGGGAAGGAGATTATTAAGGTTTAATAATAAAGCAAGTTCAATTTCTTACAAATTTGTAAAAGTTGTTAACGAGAAAAAAGTTTAGTTCCCAATTACAAGACACTAGCTCTCGCAAGTGTAAGAACAGTGAGCAAAAATTATGCTTTTTTCTGATGGAACTCACTGACGTCACATCTCGAAAACCGATGCTACCATTTAAGAGAAAAAATTTTGTCTTAGGGCTTTTGACACCCAGTGTCTTAACCTCAATTATACCCAGCCTCGAAAGATTATTTAACCGTAATATTAAATCTTCATTTCTGGGCAAATTTCTTCTCTGGCATATACTAAAAAAATAAGAGGAGCCGAAGTCCAAATTCATAATCTGTGCTATGATGATAAACTTTGATAACCAAAATGGCCAAGAACAATTATTAAGCTTCTTCGCAATTGAGATGTACCTATAGTGGGATAATTTTGTTGCTCGTAGTTCACAGCTTTCAGCAGGTACCCATGTAGAACAACCGAATCTTCTGTCAACATTTGGATATTATCAACACCTCCGATAGCATGTTTCGGAGTTTGTAATGATAAGCTCTAAAACAAAAAACTGTTCAAAATGATAACTCACACATATATTAAAAACGTTTTTTTTTCCAGTTTCCGTAGAAAAACATCAACTTCCTAAAATTACAATGTCGAGCTAAAAAAATATTCAAGATCGGTCACCATACACTAAATCACACAGTTAGCTAAAATAGTAAGCTAAGAAATTTGCGATTGATGGGAAGTTAAAGAACCTGAAAAAGTTTCAAAGCTACTTACTTGAACATAAAGACGTGAATTTGGCGGATTGTCGCAGTGATATAGGAGAATGTCTTGTGCAAAATAAATGACACCCAAGAGTGATATGACGACCAGAAGGAAAATCCAAAAGTTGTGAAATTGGTTGAAAGCAAGAAGCAACGGAAGAATCGAGTAGGCTAAAACGACCACTATTCGACGAAAAGAAAACATTTCTTTGAAAACTGTGTTCTCGATTTCTGGTTAGATCTTGTCGCTTTTTTCAGACACCAAAAGAAGAAAGTAGTCTCGCAGAAAAGCGCATCAGTTTCAGCAAAATTCCGTGTAATAAACCGTTTCTGGCTATTATTGATTGAGCGTTAAGTGTTGCTTTGTATTCTAGAGTGATGAAGTTTGTTGGATGTGCGGTCTAGGCTTTTGAATCCTCAACTCAGGGATGCGCTTTGTGATGGCTACCCCCTTCTTTCTTAGATTGAACAAAGTGAGTTTTGAAAGTTCAATTGTTACTGAGTATTACTGGCACTCTTTTTGTTACTGATCTTATGATCTCCTTATTGTTTATTTTTTGCAAATATACTTTAACATTTCGTCATTGGCATAGTATGAGTTTACAATTTAATCTATTAAGCGTCTAATTAGCTCCTATTAAGGTAAGTAAGCGAGAGTAATTAACATAGGTGTTTAGCACTATGTTACACTCCGTTTCAACAAACTGTAAAAATATTTCAACTAATTGAGGACAAACCTGAACCCTTCCATAGGTTTCCAGTTACGTTTAAGATTTCGTTTCCGAGTGGTATTTTTTCTGCAAACCTGTTTACAGCCATTGTCTGACCCGAACCAAAGACTCTCTTGCAGAAGAAACGTAGTTGCTTTAAACAGGGTGATAAATGAATCCGCATGGGGAAATCAATGATGTAAGCTCTTTCTCACATTCAAGAAAGGAATATCTATCACAACGAATCTTAAATAACCTATAATGGCAGACGAAGAAATAACAGAAATGAACAAAGCAGCCGCAGCATCAAAACAGTAAAGTGTATAAATTTAATGAAATTAGTTTAAAAAGTTCAAACTTTAGATTGTTTACTTATAGTATGATAACTAAACACAGATTAGTTGCAAAAAAAATCTTCATTAAAAACTAGAGAGTGCGGTAAAATTGTTAATTCAAACAAACGTTTTCGCACATTTTTGTGCATCTTCAGGTTTTAAAAATTCTAAACTATCTGTACAAAATGATCAAAGATCATAAAAAGTGTCAAACACATCATTATTTCAAAATTTAAAAAATTCAACCAATAGTAGTAGTAGTAGTAGTAGAAGTAGAAGGGTAGGCTTTAGGATTTCTCCATGGGTTTTGAACCCTCGTTTATAAGTTCATAATTTTTCCCGGTGGGTTGCAGTTTCCACATAAACAAGTTGTTTTCTGCAAAATTTCTGTTGAAGAATTTCCAATACGTGTTTGTTATAGATATTTTCAGGCTGTCATAATCTTGATTTTCGAAGTCCACAATTTGGATAAAGTAGTTGTATAGCGTATTAGAACGTATATAATAATTTTCATTTGACTTTTTCAGTCTTGTTGCATGAACAGCAATCTCACCACGTGTTGTTGTCTCGTTCGTAATTCGTTTTTATGAATAATTGTATTCAAATCAATGTCATGTTTATTTTTGAGTAGTGAAACTAAGTACAATATGTCGTGTAATTCAAAGTACATTGAGAGTGGAAGGAGCTTTTAAAAGTTCAGTCTTTCAGTATAACTCATTTTGAAGTTATTTGTAATCCAAGAAGTCGCTCGTTTTTGTACTCTTTTTAGTTATCTTAATTTTCTTTTTTTCTAAAAAGTAAATTTCACTAAGATGAAAGTAAGAACATTTAAAAATAAACATGTACAATAAACAAATATTATACATTAATAAAATGAGCGCCGGGTGACAATTAAAAAAGAAAAACCACAAATATGTACAATATACAAGTATTATACATCAGCTTTGAAAAAATAGCACCAAATTACAGTTAAGAACAACAGTTCAGTGAAAAAAAGCAACGGGGCGAAGAGAATAGAGGAAAGGTTAGTCGCGTCGTGATAGGGAATTATTGATGGAAATATCTTGGTTGTAGCAGGTCTGGCTTCTCATTTTGCGGGATCCTCTAATGCAAAGAAGGGCACCTCTCATAATGCAAAAGATGCAAAAGTTTACACGGGTTCGTAGCCACGAAATAGTTTCAGAATAGTGGGTTCCGCGCTTCTCAGAGGTCAGGAGAGCTAGCTGGGAAATAAATGTTGAAGTCAGGTTGCTGCAGTCACCACTGGTTGAATAGATAATGGGGGTGAAACTTGCGTGCTCCGAGTTCAAAATTCGTTCCTGGTAGTTTTTGATTTTCTGTAACATTCGCCCGGAAGATACATATCGACGGATAACAAAACTAAGTCTTAAGACGACTGGCTAGCGTCTAAACAGAGCTTTGCATGTTTTTCACCGTCTCTACCAAGCCAGTACTTTTCGGTGGTCTTTCTTACATCAGGCTGACAAAAACGTTACTGTTCTCCGGCTTCGACCAGAACGCTCAAATTAACTGAATTACATGCAAAAATAGTGAGCTCATGGCTGGGTCTCAGTATCCCCAGACCACGAGGTCACTCCTAAAAACAGGGCTACTACTTATTATATTACTATTGTTTTTGTTCAGTAGATAAAAATCATCATCTCCATCGAAGATGGATCAACCCTTTCCCCCAACTCCTAGCACCTCATCCTTGTCAAAACTAATCAAAATATCAGTTAAATTCAAGTCAGGACATGACAGGATGCTAAAAGTTTATGTGAGTTAATAAAAGTTTCCGTCCCGAGACCCTTCCGGATTCTTGAATCCGCTGAATCAAGCTCCTTACTCTTGATTTCTCGCTAATCCGGAAGGCTGGTTCTCACCCTTCACCGTTGTTAGCAACGGCCTTGCAACTATTGTAGCAGCACAATAGTTGCAACTCGGAACGTTCTCTGCTATTCTGTAGTTCGTTGTCGTTCTCCAATCTTGATTTTCGTACTGTTCGCAATCGCAGATAAAAGTTGTTCTGTTTTTCACTCGCTTTTTGTTAAAATGGCCGTTTCAGCATTTCTCAGAAATGTGACGTCATCATTCGAATTTTTGAAAATTTAAAATACTAGAATATTCTAGCCCTCACCGTTTGGCTAAACGTTCCAATAACGTCGCTAATCCTTCGAAATCATCAACTCGGAAGGCTTACTGCTCAAAATTCGAATCCTGCATAAATTGCATTTTGGCCATTCTGGTCGAATGTCACATACTCCCCGGACAGTCCGGTCAATGTCCTCATTGAATCGCACTATGTTCTAAATGGTTACAGTGTCATCGAACAGAATTTACAAAATGCACGAAATTACTTTTATCTACGTCACATCGACTCACTGCAGAATATAAATGGCATCATACTACATCACTATAGTCTTCAAATTCTTTCATTAATCTGCACATTGAGGATATGACTTAAGATAAAACATATTTTCTGACTTCCAGTGTCAATGTCCCGATTAAAATTTTTTCTCCTAGATTTAAAAGGCGTTGGCTTGCAGGACAATCCTGCCAACCAACAAGCTAAAATTATCCTACTATGTTCCTTCCCTTCGGAAATCTTGCTTGTTTATTGTCCTGAATATTAAAACCAAGAGACCTTGTGGTTAGAAAGAACAATGCAACAACCTCCCTCCTCAAGAAGTTACTCAAGTTTTTCATGTCACCACAAAGTGATCAGTCTTCCTAAGTGATTAAAAACAATCATGCAGGCTGGAATATTTAAATATACTCTTACCTCAAGCCTTTCTAAATAAATAATAAGTGAGTGTCTCTAAAGCCACTTCAACTAAAACCAAAATGCAAATTTATAAATGCAACAATTTCAAAACTCAACTAAATGTTTCAGTTTTCAATTACAACTGGTTGCTTGGTTTCTCACTTGAGTTTTTCACACACATAAAACAATTCTGAGTTTTAACTTTTCTTCATCATCCCTTTGTTCTCTTCTTTTTTCGTCGTTTAGAAGTTCTAAAACTTCTAAATTCTTCTAATTTTCTTTCTTGCCGCCTCTTGTTTTCTCGACCATTCGTCAATGCTCCATTTCCTCCTCCTGTGACGCTGACTCCGCACTCTCGGTTTCCGTGTCTTGTAGCACGTCATTGACTATCCGGACGCTGTTGGAAGCCGTCCTCCAACACTTCTGCTCTTCCACCCTCTGTTTACAGCAAGGTAGGGGATCCACGTTTGATTCTCTGTTTCTACAGAAGCTGTTGTGGAGACACAACGTCACGTTTCTCTCCAAATCTTCTTTCAGCATCCTGCCTTCTCATTTCCACTACGCTCGCTCGTCCTGGAAATTCTTTTCACAGCGGTGGTCACTGCATTCCGATGAGTCACGAAAGCTCGCTTGAAAGCTCCTGCCCCAATGTCCAGCTGATATTCACTGTAGACTCTGCCATGTTTCGACATATGCTTTTTCGCATACTCGTACAACCATGCAGTCATGTTAGCTCTGAACCATGGCATCAATCGTTTTCTTGCCCATATCTTCTTCACTTCCATCGGAATGTTTAGAACTTTGCACATTGTCTCAAAAAGATCTAAATCTTTTAGACAATCTAATTTCCGCAATTGTTCTCTCGTTGGTGCCTCCTTCCTGATGCTGTCAGGCTTCTTGCGTTCATTGGCACCGTGCAAACGGTCAGTACCGCGCAACTGAACTTCTGCCAGAGAGTAGTAAACAAACACACCATCATTGCTTCCCACAGTGCTTCCTGCTCATCTGATCCTCTGGAGATGTCATTCGTCCCAACTAAGATCATCACATTGGGTATCTTCCCTGGATTCATCAGCTCCACCATGCGATATAATTGGGCAATCGTCGCGCCTCCAAAGGCCATCACCGTGGTGACCCATGAGGTCCTCAAATTCGACAGCATTCTGACTAAGCTGTCTCCCAATATCAGGTGAGATGTCCCGAGTGGTGGTTGCTGCAGGTTCACAGCCGGGCTCCAGGTAGCTCGATTGAAGCAGGCTCTCGGATCTGTCTCCGGAACTCCCGTGAAATTATACTTCAATTGATTATTCTTCTGCACGTCTATTACACGAGACACTTTCTTCGCTGGCATCTTCCTTACTTTCCTCTCTGGGATTCTCGAGTTCCCCATGAGTGGTGTCACGTTACTCATCCCTTGTCTGATTACTGTCTGGGAGAGTTGTACTCTGCCCGTATCGTCAATCGTTCCATAGGGTGCAGTCACCCCGGAACCTGGTGCATTCTTGTTAGCGACCAGTCGTCCAGCTGTCTCTATCAGTTTTCTCACTGTCTGTTCTACGACGGGATCACCCAAGGTGTCACTAGTATCCGGGATTGTTACTCGGTTCGTCTCTGCTGGAAGCCGTGTCTCCGTTGTTTGACTCATTTCTCGAGGTGTCAAGAGCTCCATCGGGGACTGCCCACGAGGAATATCCCTTGCAGGTATCACTTTCTCAATGGACGTCGTCACCGCCACCTGCTCCGATCGCTCTTTGTATTCCTGCCTTAAGCGTTCGATCTCTTGACCCTGCTTTTTGTTGCAGTCTTCAAACAACTTTCTCCACATGTCCCGGTCTTCCTCCATCGCCAGCATGGTCTTCGTCATATCGTCTAACTCCTTCTTCGTACTTCTCCACTGATCGTTCATCTCGTCCAGATCTTGTATGGTTTGGTTCGTCTGAACCTTCTGTGTTACTTTCGCCCCTTTTGGTGGCACAGCTGCTCTCAGTGGTGAACCAGACGAGGTCGCCTCGCTGTTCATCTCCCGATGCATTCTCGTCAGCCCAGGTTTGGGCTTGGAGGGCATTGGCATCTCACCTGGTTGGTAAGTCCTAGAACTTCCCAACCCAGGCTCATTCGCCAAGTCACTCCCTGAGAGAGCCCCGTTTCT